ATGCACAAAACACAACAGGAATTCAAGAGTTACGATTAAAGTAGTGAGGGAGCAAGATAAATGTATTTAAATCTGAATTTACATGTAAGATACAGCTTCTCAATCAGACATTTAACCTATTCACAATTCCCTTGAGCTACACACGTAATTGCACACAAACCCACATGTCGAGAAAATGCATGACCCCAAACCACAACAGTCATTTGGTGCAACAAACACTTTTAGTTTTCCACTCTAGCCTGGAATGGAAAGTCTTTTTCCAAGTCTAATCGCTGAACATAAACCAATGTAGCGACTCAGCCAATGCTGATGATGAAGGCTGTTACCAAAGCCTCTGAGTTGGACCATTATCAACAAACTAAATCCTGAACCCTTAAAGCCCAAAGTCAAACAAGCACAAGCAGTAGTCCTTCTCCCCCTAATTAAAGAAAACACAAAGCCGAGCCTTACCAAAGCCAGACCTGGTCAGGCCTGTACGTTACACAAATCCCCACTTAATTGGATCATGATTTTGTGTGGTCGTCTTCTCCTTTCTGACTGTGATTGCAGGAACAAACTCCTTGGGTCTGCCACAGACTAACAAATGACTTGAAGCAGGAGCTGAGAGCTCTTTTACTTAAAAGCCCAACCCCCTATTACAAAGAATACCTAACTACTTCCTGCCAGCTTTAGTGGATGTGATGCAATAACTCCCATTTCTTCTTTTAATTCCCACATGGTGATGGGACATATAAAAATGCCATTATCTCTTACCTGAGTCAGAATCTTTCTGGTCTCCATTAGCTCCAGCAGTAAAGGGCAGCTTCCTTTTAGGGGCCTTTTCTTTCATCTCTTTGACCCCATCACTGCGATCCAATTTGGGTGTCTTGTTTGACAACACTTTATCCTGTGAAGGAGACAAATCAGAACATGAAGAACACTGTGCAAGGCATGGTTAAGAGCTTAAGACCATTGATCCCTTTCATTTCCACAACATCTATTTTGTTTTCTGAATAGAGAGCATAAGAAGTTAAAATGAGACATTGGCCATCAGACACGTTTAAGCTGGCAGGGAACGTGCAGCCTCCTCCTGAATTAAGTGCTGTTCTCTGCCTTGACTCTTCTTTCCATTACAGATTTTGCAAAGCAAAACTTTTCAATGGACTTTCCTCCTACATTCCTGTCTCCCTTGCCACAGCAGAAAGAGCAAGGGAGAGGAGACAGCACTGACGCCAACTCAACTTTGTGGTCTACAGCTGCTGGAAACAATCACCAGCCCAACTGTATGTGCTATCAACAAATGTAAATACTTCTGTGTTTGTTCAACAGGTTTCTTTGTTGTTCTGGAATATGATAGTGATAATGACTTGCTTATCCTGACTAGCAGCTTTTCAACAGTTAGAACCAAAAAACAGAAAGAGTTGGAGCTTTGTCCACACAGTGTAAATACAGAAATGCCTATCATTGGTTTCTGTGATAATGTCATAGATACCCTATAGGACACTACAAAAACGTTATCAGGTCAGAATATATCCTGAGGAATTAGACTTATCCAATGCACTCTGTATTAAACACAAAAATAGTGTCATCCCAAAACCACAGATCATTCACAATTATAAAGCTAATATTTCTTTAAATCAATTATGATAGTTATGCTTAAGATGGTTCCTGATACATAAAATATTGTTGTGGCTTTTAACAATTTCATTATGTCTAAATGCAACAGGCTTCAATTCAGTAGAAAACCCAAGTACTAATATCTTGTAGTTTTCAAACCTCTAAAACTTTTTTAAACACTGCTAGGCTTGTTTTAATTTGAAAACTCTTGAGTTTGCATTTTATATCTGTATAGGCAGAAACAGATTTTGTAGACACAATGGCGTAGAAATCCACGTTCACTTTTCAAATTGGGTCACCAAGTGGTGAATGCAACAGGGATAATAAATTATAAGCATTGCCAACCCTTACTTTCAGTAAGTTTCTTTTGCTTGTTTGTAGCATTTCCTGCAACTAAGCAACCAACTGCAGAATAGACAATGAGCTTCCTATTTACTCATGCTGGGTGTAAGGGAATGGCCATGTGATATGCCTTTTCAGGTGTATTGATAGAGACGAAATTATATCTGATGGGGAGCTAAACCTGTTCTCTGAACAGAGATTGTTTTTATTTAGTTGATTTGCTCCATCCTTAATATTTGGCCACAAAGCTTAAGTGTACAAACAATGGAGTGAGGGTTTAAATTCTCATAATGGAGATACAGGAGCAGGTCAGACACACTGAACACATGCTCACTTTCTTTTAATTTCTCAGTCCTACCTTCTGTCCCCTACTCATCTCTTTCTACCCTCAGGGCAGGTTTTCCATTATGTGTTGACTCTGTGAACTCCTCCCCCTGCCCTGCCCGAGTCATAAGACTATGATGTCATGGTACAGTAGAGAAAAACACTGTCAGCTACAGTCAGCGGATCTCTCTCTCCCTTTCTCTCTCGCTGTCTGTATCTCCCCTACCTACACAAAGGCGTCTACAAGAGAACCCACGATTCACACAAAAGCATGTTGTACACATCTGCCATGTGCATAGTGAGAGCGAGATTTGAGAAAGAGAAAAACAAAAACAAAAATCAGATGACAAAAAATGTAGAACTTGGCTCTACTTTAAACCAATTGAATAGAAAGTAAATGTAAGAAAATGGTCAAATCACTAACAACCTTATCTCATGTTGTTCATTTGTAAATAAAATTTAACGACAGCTCTGACATTGAGATTTTTCTCCGATCTGCCTTCATTAGACACTCTGTTTGGTGGTCTCCTAGCAATGCCTGCTCTTTTCGTCTCACTCCGTTTTACACCCACCCCTGTGCTCTTCGTTCCCTCCCTCCCTTCCTCCATGCCAGAGTCTGATGCAATCCTTTGCAGAGGGCTGTAAATCCATGCCTGCATAAGCCCTACCTCTCCTCTCATTGCCTCTTGGTGCTGCTGCGTGTAGCTTAACAGTTGGCACACACTGTGACATCATCAAGCTGCGCCTCACACTTTGCTCCACTGCAAACAACATGACCGAACCTGTGTCAAATTAAGGACATGCTTCCTTCCAAACATATCAGTTTGAATATGTCTTAACCTGCTAACATGGCTGCTGTTGCTCCTGAATGTGGCTAAGAAATCCTGTTTATTTTTTTGCCTGAATTTCAAGGACACAAAAACTGTTACTGCCAGTAATTTTTGGAAAAGTTAGGAAATATGAAATATATAACTATGTATGTTGTGTGTTTATATACTGGTAAGTACATCAAATAGGTAGGTTGAAATTGGGCTTCTACAAAGGCCATGACGTACAGTGATGCTAATGGCCAAAATCATATTGTGATTGAGATGTATATAGACAATATCCCCTCGTGTGTCCATCAGCTAACACACACTGGGGTTTTATCTGTATATGTGGATTTGGTTAGTGTGTGTGTTTTTCAGTCTTACCTTCTTCCCACCCTGCTTTTCCACCATGTCGGTGTTGAGTGGGAAGTGGTCCAGCTGGGGGGTTTTAGAACCCCCACCTTTGGGCATCGTTCAGCTCTCCCCACGCCAAGCTTCATTCACGCTGCCATTGCATCGTCATCAACCGTCTGGAACAAAGAGAAAGGGGGAAAAAGAGATGGTGGGGAGGTTAGCACCTGGCCACTAGGTTTCTTTGAAAACACATTTACACACTGCCAGACAATGCAGCCATTAGCGGTACATCAAGCACTCTATTTTCAACCATTACACCCTTGCTCCTGAGGAAGAGCAGTTGAGCGGGAGGACAGCAGGCTAGGTTGCAGCTGTGGCAGGTAAAAAGCATATCTATTCTCAAACAAAAGAAGAAGCAACGTTTGCCTAAAGAACTTAAAAACATGCTTAGTAATATGTGGTGGTTTTTAAGCAAGGGAATATATATCTATATATCAGCTATACTTCAACCAAAGCATTGATACACTAGAGTTAAGGAATGACAGACCAGGACACAAAATGTAGGATATTGCATCAATGTTGTCAGCTACTGAGTGAACTAGGAACAGCTGAGGAATGACTCCAGGAACGTGACTGGCGAGTCTCAACAAAAATGCAGTCAGCCTCTCGAAGAAAGCCGTCCCTTGTTATTGTGGGCTTCACCCCGTCCTGATTCATGGTATCCCCAACATAGTCAGCCAACAACATTCACCATTGTCTCCAAACAGCGAAAACTCAAAATCTATAAGGTAGAAGTGATTGGTTTGATCATGAACTTAAACAACACAGAGTTCTGCAGTATTATTTGTGCTCTATGTTTTCATTGTCTATGTTGCCTTTTGTGCATGTACACAACATGTGCATTACTACCCACACTGCCTAGTTTCATGAAGCAAGGCCTTCAGCTTCACAGGGCAATGAATTAATCATACATTCCATCCCTTCAATTCTCCCCTCCGTAATGCACTTTCACTTCTGAGTGCGTCCAAGTATAATCATCCTTGTGACTGACTGAGTGACTGAACAGATGAGACCATGGCTGCATTATTTTTTCTGAGACACTGGCACTCCTATCTTCCCTAGCGCCACTTACATCTCCCTGCCCATCCCCCCTGACTTTCCCTCCGCAGTTATCCTACTCAAAGACTGCTATTTATATCCCTCCAGTCAAGTCAGTCAAGTCAAGACAGCCACCGAGCCAGCCAGCCAGCCAGCCAGGCAGCCAACCAACCGGAGAGGCACACAACTACAGAGGATGTACTGCTCCCCCTTTTCTGGTAAATGGAAAGAGAGACACAAGAGACGCAGCAAACCACACCCCCCTTCCTCTCTCCTATGGCTCATTGTTATTCCCCATTCGATACTACTGTGAGGCGCACATTTCAACATCTTCTAAATTCCCACCTATCACCACACCAAACAAAGTGGAGGGGAAGGTCAACTACTCTCAGAATCAAACAAACCTGGCCCCCACCCACCCACACACACTTTAAACTGGGTCAGCTGGGCTTCTAGAACAATAATCTCAGCAGTATTTTGGGACTACTATGATGGGCAGTTATAGCCACTCAATATTTTGCTGACATGCGAAATACAGAAAAATTATGTTTGTAAGCTCGTAGTCACACAAAGGTACAGTCATGGAGAGGAAACCCTGTTCAAAACCACAGGCCTCATTTCCTTTGTAATTTCATCCCAATCAAAAGATACACATCTGCTAACAGTGTGCGACTGACTTTGTGTGTGTGTGTGTGTGTTTCACTCAGTCAAGTGTTGTTACCATAAATACTTGAGTAGTTCCATATGTGTATTTGTGTGTACATGGGTGTGTGAGTGTTTGAACCAATTTGTTCATGTAAAACTAAGTATACCAACAATAGAATACATCTTTTGTGATGTGGTCAAGCAGCATTGCATATGATCATGAGTTCTCCAGAGCTTTACTTTTTTATTTAAACTGTAAAAAACAAAAACAACAAGTGGTGGAAATTGCCAAAGTGTTGAAAAACAAGCAGGATTAGAGTGAGCACAATGCTTTGAATCATGAATGTCAGAATGAAAGGCTGGAAAAACATGACACCATTAAACATTTATTTATGAGAGTCTTAAAAACAACTTATACAATAGAACTCCAAAACTCTACCTTTAATTATTTATTCTGCTGTTGCCTGTATGATGAAAATAGTTGAGGTGATAGCGGCACTTTTGTAACCCTATACTGTATGACCCTTAAAACATTTAACACATTTTACATTAGGTAGGTCGACATGCACGTACACTTTCACATCAACTGCTTTTCAACATGAGCCAAGACCACCAGGCCACTTAATTTCATTTGTGCATCTAATGAAAACCAAGTTATTTAAATTAAGCTTAGCAAGCAATTTAAAAGCTGTTACTAGGCACTTGCTAGATTGGCGAAATACCGTTTTAAGAAGATAAGTGGCAGATCACAAGGTAACAGGTAATTGTAATGAAAAGCAGTCGTAGGCCAGCATCCTGTTTCTAGACTGCCACCAAACATTATTGTTACTAGAATATCACTCAGAAGATTGCATACCTTTGCACAGTCTGCTTAAAAGAAATTCAGCCACACTAATTGGACACACTCATAAATATTAGTCCCCTTAATATGCCTGACTTTTTCCATCTAGATACACCCATTATGCTTTGGGAAATTAGTGAAAATGTCAGAAACAGCCAATCGTGCAATCTTAAAGAAAGCTCCAGATCCACATTGAAATTTAGTGAGTTCTTCTATGGGTCATGACCCACCCCTCCACAAATTTTCTTGGAAAACTTTTGTGTAGTTTTTGTGTAATCCAAACAAACATAAATAAAATAAATTAAATTAGATCATATTTAAGTACATTTTCAAACATAGTCAGGTTTAATATTTGAATGACCCACAGACTATGGCTACATCATAATAATACTCATGCCCTGACACCAGAGGAAAAGACAGAGGAACAGCTATGTTGAGTTTAAATTTCTTTAATGTGACGTCAATCAAGTTAAACTTGGCCGTGGAGATGATGACTGCAGAGGTAAGAGGTGGGCCAAAGAAAGAATATCTTCCAAACAAAGGACAGGACCTGAGAGTACAACTCTCCATTCCATTCTCCCTGTCTCTAGCATAAATGCACACACCCCTTTCTTTCGGTTCCCCGTTACTTTCTCCCTTCATTCTCCTGTAGCATCCTCTCCATTCTCTGAGCCACTCCCTCTGCGGTCAGACAGAGGCCAACGCTTCAGCATATTGCAGCATACTGTGTGCACACTCACAGACGCACTAACACACACCACAGGCACACACATAGTACAAGCTTACTTAATTTAGCAAACACATTACATTAATAAGTAGTAATTTAAATTACCTTGTAAGTGTCAAACAATTTCACAACTCATGAAACTGTCATGCAAAATGAGCACTGTCCATTTAATTAGGAAGAAACTATTTCTCCAGCTAAAAAGATTTTGGTAGTGGCCCCCAAAGCAGATTCAATAACACAGTCAGTCCCTCAGAATAAAAGCTGACACATTTAATATTGGCAGATGCATGTTTAGATTTAATCCTTTTAAAGAGCAGGGAAGCATTTTAATTTGTTATATTCATTAATTTTATATTTAAAAAATAATGTGACAGGGTAGTGTAAAATCCTTGGGTACGGGTTCGATATTTTAGTTTAAAACATTTACTTAAAGGTCCAGTGTGTAAGATATAGGTGAAAGGAAACTGGCAGAAAGAGACTGGACAAACTAAACACCTTTTGAGTTTTATGACAATTAAAGGCTACCATAGTTTCTTTTTCATGTTTGGAAGGAGAGGGTGAGGTGAGGGGTGTTCAGCTGCAACATGCAATTTAAACACTAGATATCACAAAATTCTAAACACTGTACCTTTAACTATTACTGAATGACGTGACCCCAAACCTGCAAGGCTCATGGACCTTTTTCTACCATACCAAAAGTTACCTTTTAAAGACATGCACTCTTTATCATATGGCAAAATAAAATACAGCAACAGGAAAACAGATATTTCAATGCGCATAAAGGAAGTGAAGGTGCAGAGATGAAAAGCAGTTGTTTGCGCTAACCCCATGCCACTCGTAACTCATGACTCTCACTGTACACACAAAAACACACCTCAAATGTTCCACACCAACAGCTGAACAACACAGCAGCTGCATACAGGGATGGGCATGTTGCTCTCCGTCTGTCTGTCTGCTCATGTGTGTTGTGTGCACAAACCTCGTTGCCTATTGCACAATCACACACGAATCAGTAGCACATTCTATGGCAGCCATATAACTGATAGCTTGGTGTTGGTTAACATATGCGCTATGGCTCACGAATATAAACAGAAATGGGGAAGCAAATGTTACAGTTGTCCTCATACCAGAGATGTTTATGTGTCAACTCAAGTTTATTCTTTTCTCAAAGGTAAGAGCTTCTTTGGGTGAGGTAATAATATGTGTTGCTACAATAATACTTGTAATACAAAAATCAAACAAGCAGCTTGAACTAAGTTAATAAGGATCCAACAACAAATCATGTTGCAGCAATATTTTCTGTGCCACTAGCTAATGGCTATGGCTAACAGCTCAAAAAATCACAGGCAGTTTTTTGCCCACATTCTGCACACAACTGTATTCTATTAACATCAAGGCACTTCAAGTCCCTGAAAAGAAAGGCTACGAAAACACAATATCAACCATACACACTGACACAGCTTGCTGTGTTCTGTTTAGGCATCACCCAATATTACGCTCTCGGAGAAGTTATATGAAGGTGGTAGAATGTACAACTTGTCACAGGGTTTAAAAAGGCTGACACTCAAGACGATTGGGTTCCATGTCTGTCTACCTCTGGTTTAGAGGGATTTATAACACTTGTTGTTGGAAAGCTTTTATTGCACTTAACCTAACGAATTGTCTCTTTCTCTGCTCCACTCGCCTCTGTGTTTGTGTAGGAAGGGCAGAGACAGTGGAGAGGCTAAGACACAGGGGTGAAACAGAAAGCAGAGAGAGCGGCCGCTGCAGCTGAGGCTCCCACACTGAGCTCAAAAGACACAAGTGCAGATAAATTAGGTAAATAATATATATTTTTTCTTTTTTTGACTTGCGCCCACCTCCCC